ATTACCTATAGCAATCAGATTGTATGGGGACATTACCTATAGCAATCAGATTGTATGGGGACATTACCTATAGCAAACAGATTGTATGGGGACATTACCTATAGCAAACAGATTGTATGGGGAAATTACCTATATAGCATGTAATCAGATTAGAGGGGGTATTGCCTATAGCAATTAGTTAGCTTAGGCCTTTCATTCAGTGGGAAGATACAACAAAATACTCCATTCTACCAGCAGCAGTCCCCCATCTGCACCTGTTTTCACAAACCAGCCCTAATGTGTCAAAGTGTGAGATGTGTTGGAATTTGTAGAACAGAGGAGTGAAGAAATGTAATAAAGCAATAATCAAAATGTTGATCCTGTGTGAGGCACTCTGGTAATGTATATGGCTGCATAATGCCAGTATAAGCTGATTGATCCCACAGAAATCATAGTGGCACTAGAGGGACCACAGAGGACAATGCAGGAAAAGCTGTGATATGTATAAAAGGCTTCATTCATCATGGTCTGGATCTATATATTAACAGGGGCAGGGCACTGATATTTCACACATATAAGGTGCAGGCTATACCTAGATACATCAATGTGTTGCATATAACATGAGATTTTTAAACTCAGCCACACAAGACACACAGGTATTTGATTTCTGTAAACCAAGAAATGTCAAGCTGTCACTCTCAGCCAATCAGATTTCATGTTTTACTTTCCAGTGCCAGTCAGAGAATGAAAGCCAAAATCTGCATAGCCCTAGTAAGCAATGACCTTTCTATGGGTTGTCACATTTCAGACTCTTTGTATCCTTATAGAGCAGAAAAGACATACATTGTAACAATATGTAGAACAACTAGAGTGATAGCAGCACATTGGGGCTGATTCATGAAAATAAAGGGTTCTGATGAAGGATGAAGCTTATTTGATTGCCTGCAGTAACATCAGGTTAGGTCAGCTCAGTCTTACGGGAGTCAATCTTTAATATCAAACGATGGAACTTTCTGACAAGTGCACCAGACCCTATCCCCTCCACAATGTAAGCCAAGCATCTCAATGGGCTGTATTTAAACAACCAAAGCATATACATTTGCTCTTTCTTTAATCCAAAAACAAAGTGTCTGCTTACCACCATGAACTTGCTTCCACCATCACCTGAGAGATACAAGACAAGGTCAGCAGGACAACCAGCAAATATCTAGACACCATGGCTGCCCCAGGTACCCCAAAACTTCCAGACCTCAGCAAAAGTCCCAAGGCTGTCTGAAAAAAAAAAAAATCAACACACAATAAATACAAAATATAAAAAAAGTTTCTAATGTATCTTGTAGTAGCAAAGTTTATTTAGTCCCAAATATCTGGAATAAAACATTTTTAAACATGACATTAAGATAGAACTAAACGAATTAATTATAGAATTAAAGAAAAGCTATTTTTACAAAATCGATTGAATAATAATGATACAATGGCATAGGAGAACAATGTGCTTAATAGGCAGGGGGGGGGACGGACGGACTCCAGGAACATACTGTGTCACTAGACCTGTGTCTTAGCAGAGCTATAGAGACGGCTCCGACTCTGCACTGGGCAGCGCTATCGGTGCTGTCTGTGTCTCAGATCTCTGCGCTGCTGCTGTGTCTGCCGGCTGCCGCTGCAGGTATAATTTATGTGTGCTAATAGACTTTCAAAGGATGTCCAAACCCTGAAACTAAAAAGTACTAACGAATAACATTTGGATTAAGCAA